CCCCATTCCTTAACAACATGGTAATTACCATTTTCAGCATGGCGGGGGTGTCCGGAGCACTTAAAAACCTTTTATTTCGACGCCCATAAACACATATGCAATTAAACAAAAACGTTCTGCATCATCTGCAGCCCAATAGCAATACGTATACCGAACCACAGACAAATCCGTCCAGCCGATCGCGAGAAACAGCTGCTGACAGAAATGTTTCGAACCATAGTAAAACCTCCTCGCGGAAGGATATCTCCTTCCCCGGAGGTAACAAACACTCGGAGTCATACCTGCACATGTGTCGCCGTCCCCCACCATATCGAAGGGGCAGGCTCCACAGGTGTAGCCGGGTTGTCCCGGGGAGAGGGGTGCAGGCTGGTCGATGCACTTCACTCCTGGAAAGCGATTAGGGAGAATTAAAAACGAACACTCTAATAAATATAGTTCTGGAAAGCAACTTTAAAGAAAATATACTTTTTATTCATCTAGTTTTTAAGATACATGGGACTTGATGGGAAGTGATTCTGACAATATATCAAACAAAATACCTTGAAAACAAGGGTTCCCTTCGCAAGCGTCTATGTCTGTTTGGCATGTTGTTCCGGAGAAACCAGTGGGGCAGATACAAATGGCGAGCGCGAATCCCTCCACTCTGTCAGTGACGCCATCGAAGTCGCAGATGCCGCCATTTTGACATGCGCAGACGGTGACATCCGGGACACTGATGCTGGATGCTCCCATGTCGTCGCTCACGGTGAACTCAATCGAGACGAACTTCTCGCTTGTCGGTGTCCAGCTGAACAGGGCGCTGTAGTTCCCCGTTTTAGTCATCGTCCCCGCCCCCGACACGGTAATGTTGACATACCTGCAAACATTTAAACCACGCGTCAAACAATCTCGAAGGTCATAGCAGTAAATAAATTTGTATTTAATGCCATTAAGTGCTAGTTTTACAGAAATATGTTTTATAAGTGATCGCCCCTTGCTTTTTGCAGGATCGCCTATTCAACCCACTGACTAGACTGGACGGCCCTTTTCCAGCTTCCAGACTGGAAACATTTTTCTATCTACCCTTTGTAAATTGTAGTGCCTGGCCTTTATAGTGTTTGTTAATCTTACACTATTTGCTTTATGCTATACCATTGCAGGTCGCTAGCGTTATCGGACGAATAAAATTCTTTCCTGATACGTGCACGATGCCAGTATACTTAACATCAGGTTCAGGCCTCCCCGGATATTGTTCATTTTTTATTATTTGATTAATGATGTAATTCTTTGGTATATATGTAACAATGTACTTACGGACATGCATCCGTGCCTAGAACAGACGTGGTGAATGTTTTGTTGACGGTGGCGCGGATCTCAGTCGGTGCGAACACTTCCGGCGCGTCGTTCCGTAAGATTTCATTCGACGTCCTGTATTCAGTTTCCGATTGCGAAGTAGTGAGGCCGATGTCAACCTGACTCGTCAGAGCGATGTCATAGATGCACTCCCTGGTAAAACAAATGAAGTGGGGAAACATTCACATACTAGTATACTCAAGGCAAATTACGCTGAAAAATCTTCCCGTACTGAACTGAAAAACTTTCATATACTTAGTGCAACTGAAAAACTTTCACAATGCAATTGAAGCTGAAAACTTCCCCATATTCAACGCAAATGAAGCTGAAAAACCTTTTACAATCTCAAAATAAGATTCTAACATTCCGAAATTTCCGAGTTATAAATGATGGAGGAATTTTTTCAGCAAACTTCAATGTGAGATACCTGTTGTGCGCTCCACAAGTGCGTATTGCCATCTCCCTCGTCTCTTCGTTGGGAAAGAGATCGTCGTCGTCGAAAAATTTCGGCACGAAGTCGTCATCTCCGTAGTTTTCCGGCGAGTTGTGATTCGGATCCGTCGGGTAGTTGTTGAAAAGTGTCACGTTGTTGACGTCGGTGTGGTCGCAGAGGCATACGCTCCGAGTCGACCCTGTACAACGGCAAAGTGGTCTTGTGTTTAGTTTTTTTTTTCAACTTACGGATTTAGGCTTAAGGTTCTAGGTTCGAATCACCAAGATCCCCCAATGCTGTGCCCTCAGGTACGGCACTTTACACCTGTTTCCGCATTCAACTCCTGTATTCTGTCTCCGATTGGGAGCCACCCTTTTATTTCGAGCACGTTAAAGATCCGACCACACTTACACGGAAACGTAAGGGTCCTTCCCGGCCAGAGTAAGCGGTCCAAATCTTAGTCTGGTCTTACAGATCGTACTTACTAGGCACTTATAGACGGTTTAGTATATTTGTAATACTTACACATTTTGCCGAAGTTGTAATACAATTCCTTTTCCGTTGGGTTGCCAGGTTTTGCCGATTGAACGTATGATCCATTTGGCAGGATGAAATCGTCATTCGGGTCTCCGTTGAGGTTACCTAGGAGGCCTTGGAGATTACTGCGCATGTCCGTCCCAAGGCCAAGGACAAAGGTCAGAAGACCAGCCATAGCCTTGATAGAGACCGAAATGCCTGATGGGTAGCTGATCAGCACGCCACAGATGGATGTTCTACTGTTGTCTGCAAGAATTTGAAGGGGATGTTCAGATATCATCATCATCATCATCAAATAATACTATATATGATGGAATACGTTTTAAGTATTGAAAATACATTAATAACGATATAACGTACCCGAATAATACGATGTCAAACTTAGGAAATAACGACTCAAGAACAAAGCAATTGCTACAAAACAGATTCGCTTTTACCATAGACGACGGATATGAGGCCATCATTGAACTTGGTTCTACTGCCGTTGGCAATAGCGGCCAGCGGGATGTTTTCGTTGTCGATGGTCACCTCAACGCTCGTGCCGTTACTGTCCAGATAGACTTGGACCTTGTTGGTAGGTTGCTGTACCGCAATGGCACTGAGGTATTGGGAAACAACAGTCGAGTTGATTAGAGGCAGTTTTTGTACCCTTTGGAGCGGTTCTGGATAGTCCAGGCGTATTCATAACCGTTCTTCATCCAAAAACATGTTCAGGCACGGTTCTGGAAATCCAAGCGTATCCAGAACTGCCTGGGTTAAATCAAGGCTTCGAGGCAAATATTATCTTTTGAAATGCTTTCACCGTTATGCTTCTGATTATTATGCATAACGGTTAATGTTAGGGAGTGACTTAGCCAAGCCAAAAAAGATATGATTACTCACTATATGAAAGACCGACTTGTGCTAGCCCTTGATGTTTGAGTATTCAGCATTTATTAGGTTTTATTCTATATTAGGTCTTATTCTATATATTTTTTGTACTTTTTTCATTACTTTTTGCCATTTATTGTACCATGTGCAATTGTCGTGCAATTAAGTTCTTCTACTCACGTGAAGACCGTAGCCCTGATCCTCACTCCGCCCATGACAGGCCTGTCTGTGCGCCCCTGCATCATGAAGGCGTGCGGCGCGTCGGCGGTGCTCCTCAGCATCACGTACTCGCCGTGACCGTTAAATGTGTACGTTCGGCCGTCCAGCGTTCTGATGTGGGGCTCACCGTACGCCGTTGCTGTTAGAAGAAGATAAACAAAATAACTTCCGTGAATATAATAACTTCATCAGGGTGGTAAATGATTGAAAAGCAAAGTTGTCATCCACAAGTAGTTGTCTATAAAGAGACGCCGTTTCGATGGCCGTCTGTCATCTTCAGGATAATTATGACTGGCTCACTATGAACCAGTGTCATTTAAAACAGACTATTTAAACAGAAAGTGAACGTACCCAGGTAGCTTGCTGTGTAGCTTCTGAATGAAGCAGCTGGGCGCTTCTCCGCGTACAGCTGACAGCATTTATCGGACCGGGAGCGATGGCAACACCACATCCGGGGCATGTAGTCCCGCTGGTAGTATTGGCTGGTCTGGTTGGTAGACTATAAAACAAGGACATAATGATATGGGGTTATTTGAAGTAAAAAGATTTGTTGATTGATAACATGCGTTGTCTTGTTTTAAAAGACGCACTGTCCTGGTTTTGTTGTCACAATTTACCATAACGATAGTGAAAGCTAAATACAGGTAAAAACACAAAAAAACTAGCAGTTGTACCTTTTCGTATCTGTGCACGAATCCGGTGCCCTTGTTCCACATGTGTAGGCTTGTGATCAGACCCTGATCTTCGGTCTTGTAGCAGCAGTCCATGTTTCCGCCGGAGGACAGGGCGAAGCGCCTCTGAAAGCAGACTTGTCCTTTTCCCGAGCTAGTCACCTCCCACAGACCGGTCTCCTCCCGCGCTTGGGACAGGTAACCGGGACAGGTGTCCATCACTGCGCTCGCCCAGGAATTAGGGTCTGGCTCTTCCTGGAATGGAGAATGTGCATGTAAGACAACAGAGCTCTATACGAATTACATGCAGGTCAATCGGATACGCCAGACATTTAGTTGTCTTTTGTTAAGAATTGATATGGAAAACGCACAAACACATACAGACACAGACACACACAAACACAAGCACAGACACGCACACACGCATACCCCATGATTATATGTAACTGAAGTATTAGCTAGGTGTGTTTTACTCACGTTGTACCAGTCGTGGCATGCTCTGACTGGGTTAACCCAACCAGGACCGTTGTTCTCCAGTCTGTACGCGATCCGCCCGGTCAGGTTGGTGGTCACGGAAACCTTTTGGTCGATCCGGTACACGTTTTCCTCCGAAGACACCCACGCCCAGTGAGCTGTTCATATGTAAAATAAAAGGTGTCATTTGAATAAACTCTGTTCTGATAACAGAATACTAGTACCATGGTTCACCACAGTGAAATTTTCAAAATCATGGCTCACATGGGGTGATCATATTATGTATTTGACAAATTTTATCTAAATAGATCTAATTTTGGGGCCAAGTCAAAGATGAAAATAGCAGTTGAATCGTGTGGCGTAGATAGTGTTATGATTTATTCCATGCAACAATATCAATAAGTCACCAATGGCTCACGCCTATAATGTAAGTATAGTGATCAAATGGCATTAAAAGATGAAGCAATGTGGTTTTTTACCTGAGTTGTGGTCTTCCTCGGAGGTGTAACTGTTTCTAACGGCATACCCAACTCTAGCGGGGTAGCCATCAAACTGGATGACGTCAGGCAAGTAGTTGGGTACCCAGGACATGCCGTCATCCTTATAGAAGTACATGACGTAGGTGTTCACGTTGTCGGTCGTCAGAACCGCCTGGAAGGTGTTAGTCTGAAAAAGAACCCAGTCAAGAAACAGTTGGTTCGACGTATGAAGAAGTAGATTCTACAATTACTAGTAACCTCAAAGGATTTTGACGCCATTGAACATTGTATACAGTTAATGCGTTGTAAAACCAAGTGTAAAAAGTCTTTTCTTGGGAATGCTGCGTTTTTTGAACTGGATTTACAGGTTAGAGTTTTTTTCCTTTTTATTCTGTTGAAGAAAATCATGTTTTCAGCCATGTTTGGGGTGTCCTGTACACTAAAGAAGGTGTACGTTTGTATGCGGTCATAAGAAGGTATACGTTTCTATGCGGTCATCAGCTGTGCAGAGGGGTCAAAGGTGATTGCTTGTGTTCTAGAGACGGTTTCCCGCCGGCCGCCCAGACAAAAAATGCAGGCGTTATGGACTAAATGGACAAGTTAGAGGACGGGTAACTCTGTCAACGTGTGTTTGTCATGGTCTAGAACTCAGGTGGGTGACTTTTGATGCCTTTTTGGTGGCATTTCAGACAGCAAGCCCGAACACAAGACGACGTACACATTTTGCACAAAGGGCGCCAGGTTTAAACTGAAAATAGATCTGATTTTCTCTTAGTAATAGTAGTGATAAGTTACACCCACCTCGCCGTCATCGGTCTCCCAGTCTGGTACCATGTCTTCCCAAGTAGCGACCAGGGTGAACGTGGCCTGGTAGTCCGATGTTCTGGGAAAATACCGGGCCACGTCCCGGTTGCTTCTCTGGAGAATGTAGCCGCTGGTGTTGGTGTAGGCTTGGTACCAAACCTTGCAGGGGAAAAATAACGTTAGCAAACGACGCGCAGCAGATTCAAGAAGCCCATAACAGATCAAGCAAACAAACTGCCCAAAAGTAGATTCGTTCATTCCACAAAGTATTGAGGGAGAGGGGAAATCGTAAAGTTGAGATACTCTAGTGTTCATAGCACTGCAACAAATGAAGTGAACCGATGTTATATGCAAGTAGTGCCGTGTTCTTAATTGGTGATTTCCTAACCTTGTATGTGTACAGTGTATGTTTCCACACTACAGCCTTGGCATTAGAATGCTTATATGTGAGTACCTACTGGCTGATTTTCAAGGTGGATTTTCCAGCTGAAGGTGAATATCAGATATGGTATATGGCAATTTTTAGTCAGGCAATATATCATATGATACGAGAAGATACCTTAGGAGCTTGGTTGGTCTGTAGACCGCTGAATCTGTTGTTAGACCAGAAAGCAGCGAGGACGCCACACACGTTCGTTCTGTTGGACTCGAGAACGGTGTCCATGGACTCAGGGTGCCTGAACGTCAGGAACTCATTGATGTAGTCTTGCTCCTCTGCCTTGGTCGTTGTGATGACAAGAAGTCCATTTTCGGAAACCTGTTTGGGCAAAAGTTACACTGTTTATTGAATCTTGTGAAACGTTTTTAGAACATTTAATCACACAGTAACCTACTTGAAGTTATGTGATGATTTATACTTTGATGCTTCTGGTATGCTGCTACACACACACACACACAAACACGCACACACACACGCGCGCGCGCGCGCACACACACGCACTGCACACACACACACATCACAACGTGTCGATAATCATCACTGTCTATTTCAGATCTGTAAAAATCGACACTTACATAGACGGAGTTACAGATGATGCCTCCAAAAAGCGGGATCCCGTTCTCCACACCAATCAGAGAGGAGGAGGCCTCCTCCATAACTAGATGGTGGCCGCTCCTGGTCAGAGATGGCCGGCGTCGCTCCGCAGATCGCGCTGTTGAAGCCGTAAGTCTGAAGTCCTTCTGACTCACGCCAAACGGGTAAAACCGATCCTCTGAACAAAATAAAGTCATGTCATGTCATGTCATGTCATGTCATGTCATGTCATGTCATGTTATGTTATGTTATGTTATGTTATGTTAGAAGACATTATGAAGTCTCATAATGAAGAGCTTTATCATTTTTTTCGGCGACGCCTAATTTTTTAACGGATCTCTTTGTTTGAAGTTTCCAAACATTTCATGAGTTAGGAGTCCGCATGTTTGTTAGTCACTTCTTTTATTGGTTTTGTATCTTCTCAGGGGTGATATCTGGCGATTGAAATCAGAACTACAGGACGGGCGTTGACCATTGAATTAGCTGTGAGGTAAGTAGCATGATTTTTCTTTTAAAGATAGCGCCAGGTCAGTTTACGTCACTGTTTTACCGAATGCGAAGTTCTTTTGGTACAATTTGGTACAATTGTTATCTAAAATATGCTTGCTGTAACAGTTGTACACACCTATACACTGTCCAACGAACCCTGTCCCCTCGTCTACAGAAGACTTAAACCCGAATTCACACACGCAGGTGTAGCCTCCCGCAAGGTTCTGGCAGTGCGCGTGGTCGTCACAGTTGGTAGAGCCAGATGTGGCACATTCATCTACATCTGCATGGAAAAAAGAAGAGACGTGATGAACAATCAGATTAGTAGGTATTAATAATTACAAGTCACGCCCATACAGCACTATGAAAATTATGTTAGGGAAGAGAAAATATTGAATTCCAATATTGAAACTTTGAAGTGAAATTTATGAGACATTAGGTTGTAAATACGAAAGTCGACAACGAGAACAGTTCATGCATTTGTGTGTGTGTGTGTGGGGGGG